TTGAGGCATAATAATGAGTTGGTGATACCATGAAGCAATCTGTTAACTAATCAGGGGATGAGGTGGTAGTGTATCGAAAGTTTGTGCCGCTCGGTGGTGTGTGCCGCTCGGTGGTGGATTACGTTATCGAATTGGCGGAAAATAGAGAGGGAGGGGGGAGACCACGTCTGTTCTGCATCTGGTTATTACTTTTTTTGGGATGGGCCTCAGTATAGGTTTTTCTCCTCGGTTTGTTAGGTTTTTCCTATACTGTGATGCAAATGCAGAGGCTTGTACAGTCTTTCTGATGCTTGCTATTATCATATTTGAGGTTATCCATATTTCTATTCCAAACTCAAGGATATGTCCCCTACACCAGGTGCTTAGACTGTACACATATTATTAATGCATTATATTCGCAATGCTTTGTCTACAAATCACCTTTCCCAGATTAGGTATGTCAACTAATCTAGTAGAGAGAGAGTACATATACATAAGCTGTGCGTTAGGCTTCTAGTATGAACTCTATTTTTGTAAGTATTACTCTAATATATAGTTAACAAGATGTTGCTGATCTAAATAATAGGTATGTTTAAGTGCTAATATTATAAGGTTCATATTTCATCTATTATTCAACATAACTGAAAATAATATCTGCTTTACTTAAATATAGGCCTTCCTTTATCTTCTTCATCCAGCTAACTAATACCATTCAAGGGAATTAAACCTTGTGTTGCCTTATGAACACTATACTTCTGTGAAAACAACACTGTAAGAAAAATAAAAGAAACTTAACCCTTAACACTAGTTTAACTTCCTAGCCTCCATATCTTAATCTACAAATCTGGCCATGGGACTTTCACACACAGAGTTTTGTCGCGCTGAATAAAATGCCCCCTAAGTGACTATGAATTAGAGCTAGACAGGCCTAAGAGGTCAAAAATAACTACCTAAAACACAGAACTAGCATTTTTTCACATGAAATTTCCATAATTTCTCTAAGTGTATCATAATGGTGCTAATGAGGCGCATGTGCAGGTATGCTGATTTTGACTTTCTTTTTTAATCCATACATTCTATGTTAAATCAGACCAAGGACTGTAGTCTCAAGCGCAGGAAGCGGATTATGATGAGCCTTGATCAGCCGAAACCTGAGGGGATCCACCGCTATTGTGTCAACCTATTGGGGGCATTCCATGGGGCAAGACGGGGCACAAAAGTAGGTCTCAGCCCTACCTCTGAGCCATGGTTCTGGGGTGCTTAGTGCCCGCCTTGTCAGCAGATCTATAAACCAATTCCACAGGACTCTGCAGCTTCTGGTTGATACTACCTACTTTCAGGAATCGCTCAAATCAGTTGTCATAGATCAATTGCTCTATCGGGAAAGGATGCAGGCAAGGTAGAGGAACCAGCATAGTAAGCTCAGTAAATGGCCTGGGTTTCTACGAGTTCCTCATAGGACGCAAGGCTCGATACTCCTTGTCACAGCATTTTGTTTTGTTGTATCTGCCACTAAAAATTGTGCAATCCATGCTAACTGAATTTGTACAGTAAACGCATATAATTGAAGGGGATAAGAATGAAGGTCGAATCTTCTAAATCACCACATTAAGGGAATGCACTCGGTGAGATCTTTCCAAGTGAGTGGTTTGAACCAGGGAAGCAATCCAGCAATCTGATTGGTTAAATTAGAATTTCAGAGAGTTGGCGCAGCTTTTACCGAAAACAGTAGGAAGTGATAGACAGTAAAGCTTATCGAAAGTCAAAGTTGACTACATCCTCTCTAGAGGCTACTCTGCATGACGCCATGTAACGGTCAGGGAAACCAAGGTGCTGTAATCGTTTCGACAGTGTTGTAGCTGAGCTTGTTGTGTTTAAGCCTTGAACCTCGAGTATATATAGCCACTCCGGGAGAGGTAGTCTAGCCGTCACTTTACCCTTCCTGCAAATTATCCTCTTTACCCCAAAATGCTCGCTACAACTGTACTTTACAGTCTCCTGTTCCCCTCTCTGGGCTTGACAATGCCGGCGGCAGACACTGATATTGGACGCCGAGGTCAGTGAAATAGATAGCATTACAATCATTCTAACATTAACATTTCACCTAGATGTTTCTGCTGGCCTTTTAGCCAATCTGACACTATTTTCTGAATATTCTGCTGCCGCTACTTGTGCAGCAAACTTTGCCTCACAAGGGTCAAAGGTTGTGTGCGATCCAGGTGTATGCCCAGTCCTGGAGCAGACAGACACAACTGTCATCAAAGGATTCGTGAAGTATGATTGGTCAACCAGGTATGAACTCAAAGGCTAACGTCAAATAGTCAATATCCGGGTAATACTACTGGCTACATAGCAGTTGACAGGACCAATAACTTGATCGTTCTGTCATTCCGAGGTAGCCGGACTATAGGGAACGCGATCACTGACCTTGAATACGGCCAGGTGCCTATCTATGGCATTTGTCCAAACTGCGAAGTGCATCATGGTTATTACTATGCCTGGGGAAACTTCTCCCGATATATAATGCCATATGTTGACCAGCTTTCTGCTCAATATCCAGACTTTAGTGTCATCTTCACTGGTCACAGTCTGGGAGGTGCACTAGCTACCTTTGGAGCAGTACTTGAGGGAAGTGCCAACAGACCCATTGGTCTGGTAAGTGTTTCAGTCCCTGCAAAATAAAAATGCACCTAGACAAAGTGTTAACGAGAAGACAGTACACTTTTGGATGTCCTCAACTAGGAAATTATAGTTTCGCCGACTTTGTCACCGGGAATACAGCAGGCTCTGGATACAGAGTTACACATTCCGATGATCCAGTTCCAAGGGCCCTGTCTACTACTAAGGAGGTCAATCAGACTTGGCAGTATAGCACAACATCTCCAGAATACTGGATTACTTCAGGAAATGGCGTGCCAGTCACAGTCACTGATATCCAAGTAATTGAGGGCATTGACAACAAGAGTGGGAACCTTGGTACAACCGGATTGGATCTTGCGGCTCATAATTGGTATATTGGCAACATGAGCGGGTGCTCAACTAACTGAGTTCATGTCACTTTAATCAGAGACTGGGGATGAACTTGTCTGTTCCAGTGTTGCGCATTATAAAAGTCTTGATTTGAACTGTTGAAATAACTTATTATGCTAAATTATTTAGTCCTTAAACAAGCTCTTGGCTCACAGATGTAAAGATGCTTGACAATTATACTGAATTTTAGTCAATATAAATCTTGCATATTACCAAGACAATGTATATTCTCCTATATAGATCTCTCTATGAGGAGAGCGAAAAGCAATCACTCCTTGAAATACAACAGAATCTATTATGATGAATGCTGTTGCGATCAGAGTAGCAATCATTTTTCCCAACTTCAAATATTATATGGCTTTCTGACACCTGTAATGATGTAACTTGCGCACTGGACATATCCACCCTATTTTACTCCTTGTAGGACTAGTCAGCCCTACAAGTCAGCCAGTTAAGCTTATACTCACAGGGTGTTTTGCAAGTATTCCACGGAGCTGTTGAGTGTTGACTTGCTTGTGGATATGGTGAAAAGACTTCACGTGCATCAGATAGAGGTTCTGGGCTTTTCATTATATCAACATGTCAAGTAGATCCAGCAAAAGAATGTTCATACTCAGGCTAGAAAGCGTCTTGGCACCTCTTGAATTGAGCGCAATTGTCATTCTCTGATATAATCCTCGATGACTTATCATTTCCACGGGTGCTGGCCATAGAAATCAAGTAGTCTATTGATCGATTGCTCCTCCTTACATGGCTATGCTATCCAACTACTTTAGTTCTCTCTAGGACGTACATAGATCCCTTGTTCCAGTTTTCTTCTTTGGTATTGTCTGGTCGTACCATATGAAGCGCGTGCCCGGCCACGTTGCAGGATGCGCTGCGCTCATGCAGGGACATCTGGCAATTAGAGAAAGACAGGAATATCTGTCATTCGCACGCATTTATATTGAAACTCGACCCCTTGCCCCCAGAGGATAGAGACCAGTGTTGCATCAGTCTGGAGCAGGATTATCCTCTCCTACCGTCTTCTGTTTAGACAAGATGGCAAGTCCAGAAAGGTCGCACATGAAGAAGTCTGGAGGTTAAAGAACTCGTGCGCAAATCAGAGTGTCGATACCATGCTCTCAGAGCTCTGTAACCGCAAGTATAAGCACAGCACTCTGTGGTGGAAGATGTACAACAAAGTCCTACAGGGCTATATATCCAGGATATGGCTCTGGCATTGTAGGGTAAAGAGTGAAGTAATATGATACCATGAACTTTGGAACAGCCAGAAACCTAGCTAACAGAAAGACTTCACTACAAGATTAATACATGATTAACGACCATAGTCTGACCCCAGACCGGAACCCATCCGATACAAACCCGGTTGGATCCTTGTTGCTTGACCCCGATGGTTCCCCGGATCCCCGCTCAGTGGCTGACTGCTTGCGCGATAGGTGCTAATACCGCGCTCATTTATTGCAGATACTGCTGCTTTCGGGTTGCAGGTCTTTATCTCTCTCGCCTTGAGTGGTCTGTCTGCAAGTTACTCTTCCAGTGTGGCAACAAGGAGGCATTTTTTGTCTCCCCAAATGGTGCCTTTTTCTTAGAGAGCACCCGTTTCGTATCAGGAACAGTCTCATCCTGCCAGACCCAGTGGTCCTACTCACAGCGACAAGGCTCATCATGCCCACCATAAGCCAACGCGGTCTTCAGTTGATTCCGTCTCCCACAGATGATCCACAAGACCCTCTACGATGGCCCAGCTGGCTCAAACTGTCTGTCATACTCTCGACGTCACTGGCCAATTTCGTCTCCAACATGGGCGGTGCTGGCCTGTCTGTTGCCGTTCCGCTATTAATGCAGCAGTTCCAGCGTTCTCAGGGAGATGTGACCCAGTTACTTACAGTACTACTCTCCGTTAACCATCTGTCCAGGCGTGGTAGATCAACTGCTGATTCGCGTAAATTAGCTCAACTTTCTCTTCTTAGGGATCGGCAACATCTTCTGGGTTCCTGTCGCAGTCAAATTTGGCAAACGCGCTTCGTTGATATCTTCAATGCTGCTCCAGGCGGGAGCACTGATCTGGTGTGCTGTTGCCGGTGGATATGACAGCCTACTAGGGGCGAGATGTGTTCTAGGTTTTGCTGCTGCCGCCGGTGAGGTCAGAATTTGCTGCCTGGCCCATCGTCTGATGAATAGTTATATTGACCATGGACACACTTTAGAGCATTGTACCGGAAGTTGTTGCTGATATTTTCTTCGTCCACGAGCGTGCGACAATGATGGCCATGTAAGGTATGATGTCTTTGTCCTCGGTACACCATCTAACCCCTTTGTCTAGTTACGTTGTCTTGATCTCCGGAGGCTCCGCCGTCGGACCCTTGGTCGGGGGCTTTATGGTGCAGTATACGTCTGACACATGGCGGTCATTTGTCTGGCTTTGCTTTGCACTTGCTATCTTCAATGTGGTGCTTTTGGTCTTTCTATTTCCAGAATGCAATTTTGAGCGCCCCGAGCCCCTCACTTCAATGCAGCAGTTGCAGACGGCTGCGGACTGCAAGGAGAATGAGGCTACCTTTATCGAGAATGCTTCAGAGGCGCCACTGGAGGAAGAGTACACCGTCTATACCCCGTCACATCGTGAAGTTCTACGGCCAGTCCACTACGATAAGGGGACCAATTTTTTCCTGACCCTTATCTCTCCTCTGAAGCTACTGATTCACCCTTCAATTCTATGGGGAATCTTCACATATGGGGTTTCCCTGAGTCCTCAGATTATCATGATGTAGGTTCCACCATTATCTTGACCCAAGCCTTCAGCGTCAATACTGACAAAGGCGGAATTCAACAGCTTCACCATGTCCCCTCTCCTGGAGGCACCTCCCTACCACTTTCGTTCAGAGTACGTCGGTCTAATGCAAATCGCTGCCATCGTGGGCTTTCTCCTGGCCTGCTACGGAGGCGGCTACTTGTCCGACGTGATCAACAGCATTGTCGTTCGACGCAGCGGTAAAGTCGTGATTCGCCCCGAACAGCGACTCGTGTCGTTGCTTCCAGGAATGGCGATCGGCCCAGCAGGTTGTATCCTCCTTGCCTTCGCCTGCGGTCAACGATTGCACTGGAGCGCCATCGCAGTCGGCTTCGGTATGGTGTCATTCGGAACAGTGTATACACCCAACATCGCCATCACATATATTGTCCACCTACATCAGCACGAGGCAGCCAAGTCTCTCGTTCTTATTAACATATTCAAGAACCTGGTAGCATTTATCTTCCTGTATGTGGCCGTCGACTGGGTGAATAAGGAGGGGTATGTTCAGGTGTTTATGATCATGTTTATGTTGAATTTCCTCACACTTGCCTGCGCACTGCCGTTGTATATCTTTGGACGAAAGCGCGGTGCAGGAAATATCCGAGAAACTTAAGGACCCCACCAGACTATTCAGATCTCCCAGAGAGCAACGCGTGGAATTGCACTTACTGTATTATGTTAGTAACAGTGGCGTTTACTCAGATGTATTAGTAGGAACCTCGGCGGGAGTTGACAACTTGACGGCATGCTTCTTGGTCTCGGGGATTTGTGAAACTGTCAGGAATCATCCCTAGTGGAGTCGAAGATATCTTCTATCAAGATATCCCTGATCCCAAGCTTCCCCCTTTTGGGAAAACCAACCCGTTAGAAAACCTCATCCTTCCTGATTCTTGGAGTCGAGTGGGACTGAGAAATCATTCTGGTGCGGGGAAGTTCTGGGTGGTGGTGCGGGGTTGGCAGCAGTAGAATGTAGCTGGATCTACTCCGTACAGGGCAACTCTCTCCGTCCTCTCCACTTGCTTCTTTCACCAGGCATGAGAAGTGCAAGGCAATGGCAACCCCGAAAAAAAGAAGTCGACTAATTGCTGGCTGGTGCGTGCATTGAAATCATTTTACTCGCGTGAAGAATGATGGCTGGCTGACTACTTGCTTCAGTCACAGATGTAGGGGTGAGTGTCCATCAATTAGTGCAGACGAAAGAGAAAATAGCTGGTTATCGTATTCTCGGAAGTCAATGAGGCAGCCTGCTGATGTGGATCATTTACAGCTCGCCATCTAAGATGTACGTACACCTGGTATTGGGAGAAGGACCGGGCTCATATATCTAGCTCAATAGGCGACACAAAAACACCAGCCTGCGACAACTGCAGAGCTGCCGGCGAAGATTGCGAAAGGTTTCTTAACATTCGCTTTCGAAATGGCCTAGACTTTGTCAAGGACCAAGACGTGTCATTCCCTGAAAAGGGTGCGTGGCCACCTTTGACGGGGCCTAGTAAGTCAATCTTGTTGCTCTGTGATTCGATCTCTGACCTGGATGGTGGCAATTGAAAAGTCCGATTCTACGATGAGACTCTTGAGATTGAAAGACTTTACATAGAAAGCAATTCATCATCACCCTCTCAAGAGAGCCATGATACAGGCGACTCCAACGGCACCCACTGCGGTCTACCAGAGTCGGACATCCACCGACGAAGACGATATCAGATCGCTGCCGAAGACGCACCCGTGACGCACCAGACTTCTGGTCCTCCCAACAGACCAAGCCATGGTGCGTATCTTTGCGCCTGACGGCTCTTGGTCCAACATTTTTCATGGTGCTGACCGTGACTACAGCATCTCTGGATACAGGAAATCCCATCGTTCATCACGGATCTCGGAATGCTAAATGTACAACAGAGACGGGTCGTAACTTGCCTAATTCAAGTGATTTTGCGAGCTCACAAACGCAATATACTTCTCTAAGTGCAAGGGAGGCTGCCCTCTTTCGCAATTTCGTTGATAATATGGCCTTGTGGGTCAGTGATTCCGAGTTATATTTCAGTTCCCCTCTCTCTGAGCCTTTTATTCTTCTGAGAAATGCTAACATACACATAAGACTGACATTACGGACCCTCAAAGGCACTTTGAGACTGTGGCTCCGGCACGAGCTCTCCATGAGCCAGTATTACGCGCGGCAATCCTTGCGTTTTCGTCCCGGCATATCAACAGACAAAGATCGGACGGCGACACAGAGTCGTTGAAGTATCACAACCAATGTCTTCAGCTTCTCATTCCAACACTGTCGTGCAATGACAATGAGATTACCGAGGAATTACTAGCTGCAGTTGCAATTCTCCGTCAGAATGAAGAAATGGATCGTAAGTTCTATCCTGATCATGAGCAACTTGACATGCTTATACGCATTAGCTCAGGACAACCAGTTCCATTTAACGGGAACGACGCGCATATTAAATACAATGTCCTCCTTCGGATCCTCCGGAGGATTAGGTGAAGCAGCCGCCTGGTTGTGCCTTCGCGAGGACATGTACATATCACTCACGTCACAATCGCCATTGAGGACAAATTTACAGAGCTTTGAGCATTCTGATGTCTTCACCAGAACCGACGACTTTGCTTGGTCCAATCGGATGGTCTTTTTGTTGGCCAGAATCTTGAGCTGCGCTTTCAACGAGGAGAACCGGACGAGACGTTCTTATGCTTCACTTGATGGTTTAGAGAAAGAAGTTGACGATTGGAATTCGTGCAAACCGCGGACCTTCCAACCTGTTCGTTTTGTTCCTCGAGGAAGGGATTCTGGTCAACGATTCCCGATTATCTGGACGCTATTGCCAGTCCATGGTATGACTCCCTGTAGAATTTTGGGATGCCCGCTAATTCATGATCAGTTGTTGGTCTACAATACTTCCACATTGCGAAAATCATACTTGTTTTGTCTGGCTGTGCAAGTCCCTTTCTCCCGTACGAGAACCTGCAACGCTCACGGGATGTTGAAGTATGTAGACGATCGTTGCTGCAGGAAGTAAGGGGCTAATTCGAAGTCAGAAACTTGTCCGGGGCCATCTTCTGAATGTGCTAGGCCTAGCTGCGTCAAACCCTAGGGCTGAAAACACACTTTTCACTGCACGGCATAGTTTAGTGGCTTGTGAGTGTCATAACTTGCCATGGTTTTCCTTGCGCTGAATCATACGAAACTAATCTTATCAGGGGGCTGGATACTACGGCATAGACTTGATCAAGAAGCCGCTGAAGAGCTGCTGCGGTATATAGAGTTGAAGACTGGCTGGAACACGTCCCACTTGATAGACTCGCTGAGAGAGCAATGGCAAAATGAGCTTGTCGATGACTGAACAGGCCCCATGAGTCGCAGCTTCGCCCTTTCTCAGGCTCGAGCATTATCAAATCGCAGTACTCGATCAGTATACTGACCGAGTCCCCACAAGTCTGTTTCAGCCCTCCCATCTGCGTTCACTCAAGCCAGGGATGGGCATCTGGTGTCTGCTTAGTGGCGAACAGACACATCTTTCTTCTAGTAAACAGTATGAAGTCACGGACCAGATGGCATGTTGGTAAGAAAGGTCACAGAAAATGATGTCAGAAGCCCAATCAGACAATTGGCATGCTCGGCTACCCAGGACAAACGGAGAGGAACAGGACGCCATGCGAAAATCGGCCGATGGGTAGGTCATAGAGTCGGTCAACTTTGGGCTTTTATACCTTATCGGACGACCAGTCCGACATCTGCGTTGGGTAGAGAAGTGGACATGATGATGGCAGGGAATACCGCGTTTCGCACACTTCATGCAGTGCTTCGTTGCATAGACTGCCGTAAATCCTCGCACCATGAGGCCTTTGGATGGAACCAAAATCATACCTAGTAGTGTGCTATCGGAGATCCAGACCTGCATTCGCATCTGGTCGGGTCTGAGTTGTAAACTCGTAATCTCGATATGCATGCATGACAGTCCGATAAGCGATTGCCCCTAACCACGTGTAGCCATCGGACTTGTTAAGCTTTGCCATGTTCCATGATCCATGATCTCATCCTAGACACACCCATTTTGCATGTGCCATTTTGTCCGACAACGGCCGAGGAGATGGTCTAATTCCTCTCGAATGCAAGCAGACCAACGTATGTCCAAGTGATGGTGGCACCTGACACTTACGTTTACCTGAGTGGAACTTGCGCTCAGGGGCCGACGATCTTGGCAACCGCCAATGAGATCAGCAGTGAATGATGCTCTGTCAATATGGATTTCCTGCATTTCTGCAATTGAACTTGATCTCTCTCTTTCCCCCTCATTTGCAAATTAGCGATGAGATCTGACAGTCTTCACTAGTCATGTCTCCTTCTTTCCTGAGAAGATTGCGTCGCCGCCGTCGCGATGACAACAGCATCGTCGAGCCTTCTCCGCATCCGGCAGTCCCAAAAATGCGGGGATCAACACCAGCGCCGCCAAGGTCGTCCACATACACCAACAAGCCCGAAAACAACCGTCATGCAGACGCTTATAAGACAGAGAAGTCCGACGCACTCTGCGGGTACTACGCTCAGCCTGCCAACGCATCCAATACCGACCAATCCCCACGAGACCTTCAAGCCTTTATAGAACCCACGGTGGACCCCTCAGACCAAGAACCAGCATTCACCTGGCAGGACATTGAGCCCCTGGCGGATCTCAACCCATCACCAATCCCAGAGTCCTTCAACTGCGAATTACCACCTACTGAAAAGGAGATCCTGCCCTGCATGGACACACGACGGCAGACATCGGCGGTCGGGGACCCGCTACCACCACCCAGCCGCGGGCGAAGCGCAGCCACGATACCTCACCTCTCTACTTCTCACGGAGAACAAGATCAACAATCCGCTTTGGAGCGCGCAGTTCAAGCGAGAATGCTCGGGATATCCAGTACACTACCCTCATACAACGAAGTGAGTGGTGCCGTGATCGTCGACCACGAAGGCCTCCCGCACTTCCTGTCGCCGCGGGAGGAGGAGGAAAGACAGGCTTCGTTGAGGCGCGCGGTCGAGGAGAGGATGCTGGGGCTTCCGCGGCGTACGGACTTTACCTGGGCGCAATCGCCGCATGGCCCTTCGTTACCCTCATATTCGCCTGGGAGATACACATGAGCGACCTGGGTTTATCTCGGACGCGAGAGAACTCGGAATCCGAGTTGATCGCTGGGTTGGGGAGTGGGCATTATTAGGTTGATTTTTAATCCTGCATTGTACTGTACATATTAGCGCCTGTCTTTCTTGTACATACCCTCGTTCGATTTGTGCTCGGTTCGGAGCATTGACACATTCGCTTTACAAGCCTCCGGGCAGGTTGGTTCGGCCTTGACATGGGAATAGAGATAGTATTTACTCTTAATATGCGTCCTCTATCGTTTTCCACGGAGGCTGTGGCGGGAACAGCAATTGTTGACTTGCGAAGCGCTTTCTGATTCCCTAGGCTGAATGAAAGACAATTGACACAACGCCGATATATGTATAATCAAGATGTCTAACCGCTTATATGCAACTTTTGATGCCCTGAGGTATATCCAACAGACTTCACCGACAAACCCGCTAGCTGCGGAACAACCGCAAGCCAACCTCCTCACGATCCTCCTCACTTTCCTCAGCAGCACTGGCATCCTCGTCATCGCCCTCTCGCAATAACCCACTCGCAGTCTTCCCAAGCAGGGAGGCAAAGAACTCCTCGCGAGCGGTATTCGTCCACGCGCCGCGATCCTCGGGCGCCATGAAGTTCTGCAGCTTCTCGTGGACATCGAACCGCATCTTTCGGCCCTTGGAGGCCCGGGTGTCGATTTCCCGTTTGACCTTGTCCTTCCGCATGCCGGTGATAGGGTGGATACCTTGCCGGGAAGGCAGCTGGATGTGCAGGGTGTCGATGCCGTTCGTGATGGCGTCGGAAGACGACATGCGCTGCTCGACGAGGTCTCTAAGCAGGGACTGGTAGAAGACGGTATCGTCGTAGACCGGCTCGGGTTCCTCGTCAGAGGCATTCTTCCGCGAGCGTTTGGCGGCGCGCTCGCCAGTCTCCGAGGCGACCTGCGCGTCGATGACGGCGGTGATGGTCTGTGGACTGCCGGCGCTAGCACCGAGGAGCTTTCCCCGGGCGTTGGGGAGTGCGGCGGTGGAACTGCGGACCTTGAGCGACCACTTGTCGAGCACGGCGCGGCGGTGGGGGACGGCGTCGGACTCGAGGTCTGTCATGCGCTTCCATAGCGAATCGGTGGATGTCGCGACGGACACTGCGGAAGGTCGCTTGCGTTTCTTCGACTCGTCCTGGGTTTGTGCGTCCGCCAGAGCGAGGCGCAGGTCTTCGAGGGTGGACCAAAGCGCGAGCGCGGCGGATTCGGCGGACTTGATGGCTTCGCCGTCGATGTTGGTCTTTTCGTCGCTCCCATTTGCGGCGATGGAGAGCTGGTTGATCGCTGTCAGGCCCTTTTGAAGTTTGATTCGTGCGTTGAGCAAGGCGTCGAAAGTCGCGCGCTGCTGCTTGACGGCCCTGCCCTTGGCAGCGTCTGCCTTGGCGGCTTGGGAAATAGTGGCTGCGATGGTCTTTTGGTCGGAGGACATGAGTCTACGCAGCTCCTCCCGGTCATCGGATTTTGGTTTTTTGTCAAATCGCACTCGTCGGTTGTCGGTGTCCCCATCCTCATCGTCCTCGTCATCCTCATCTTCGCTTCCATCATCGTCATCCTCTTCATCGTCGTCGTCAGACGGAAATTCTCCGTCCGTGTTATACTCGTCCAATGCATCTTCCGAATCAGCCTCGCTTCCTTCAATCTCCTCAGACCCGTCGGTATCCATGCCATCGACAGCCTCCTCGTCCGACGAAAATTCCAACTCCTTCATCTGCCGCTTGCCATCCTTTCCCGCGCTCTTGGATTTCCGTGGTCGCTCTTCTTCGCTTTCCTCGGATGCATCTTCGTCCTCGTCGCTTGCCAGCTCGGAATCCTCCTCTTCCTCGTCCTCACTACCATCTTCTTCGTCGCTTGAGCGTGCTCTGAAAGGGTCATCGTCGCTCTCGGCTTCAAGCGCGTCTCGGCTGATTTTCGAACCGGCATATTGTTTTCCGAGGTTAATTGGGTCCTGTTTGCGAAGCCTCGCCTTTCTGGTCGGAGTTAACATGCTGAAGCCAACGGTGCACAAGGTTGAAAAAGTGTGTACTCACCCTACAGCTTGATAATGCTCTCTTCCAGCATTGGGGTCAGCAGCTTCGGCACCTTCGTCATCACTGTCTGGCCCAGCGCGATCCAGGTCTTCGGGGTCGAAATCTGATCGCAGTGTTAACCTTCAAACAAACACAGTCAACCAACTGATCAAGATCTAACCTTTAGGTGTAGGGTCTTCCAGCTCCGCAAGTCGTTCTGCAAGTGACTTTGGCGCCATTTTCGCGCCTTGTATAAGTTGAAGGTACGGAGGTCTGTCGATAAATTTTGGCCGCAATCTTTTTTTCCTTTTTTATTTTTTCTGCCCGTGATATTTTTCTAGAGGGCGGAATGCGGTATCGGAGAAACTTCCCGTTTCGGGCCCTGGGCTGGTCCGATTGGGAAGGTTGCTCCAGGCGGTGTACTTTTCTCTGGCAGTAAATGATGTCGATTGTAGCTCCTCTCCGCAGCACTTTATTTGCCATCCACAGGAATTATGATACAAAAGAGATTATTTTCGGCTCTTCGAGCTCTTCAACATGATAATCCCTTGGTAAAACAGCTCACTCGATGACTTGGCTGATTGTGGATATTAACGTTAGCAGGGTCTTCCGCGATCCGGCACACCACCGTCATTCCCGCGACGCCGGGGGTTACCAGAAAAGCGCAAGATCCGTGATGTCAAAAAAGTGATTGCGGTATCGTCCGCCAAGGGTGGTGTGGGCAAATCTACCATTGCAGGTATGAAATCATTGTATTAGATGCCAATCGGATACCTTCATATCAGCAGTTGGGTGAACTCCGTGCTCGATTTTCAGTAGATCTCTGACTGTCCTCTCGCCAGTGAATCTCGCTTTATCTTTAGCTCGCCGTGGGATTCGTACAGGTATCTTGGATACTGATATCTTTGGGCCATCGATCCCAACTCTTCTCAACCTGTCCGGAGAACCGCGCTTAGACGAAAGTGAGCCTGTCATTTGAGGCACATGCTTGAAGCGCAAGTTGCTCTTGAATATCGATCCGTCCGCTAATGGTTGACTAGACAACTGCCTTGTCCCTCTGACTAACTATGGCTTGAAATCGATGTCAATGGGCTACCTGCTCCCACAGCCGAAATCGGACCCATCGCAACCTGCGGGCAACATCCCCATGGACACCACTCCCATCTCATGGCGTGGTCTGATGGTCACCAAGGCCATGCACCAGCTTCTCCATTCGGTCTCCTGGGGCCCCCTGGATGTGCTGGTCCTGGACCTGCCCCCAGGCACCGGTGACGTACAATTAACAATCGGACAAGAGGTCGTCGTAGACGGCGCCGTGATAGTCACCACACCACAGGATATCGCTCTGCGCGACGCCGTCCGCGGCTTCGGCATGTTCGACAAAATGAACATCCCCGTTCTCGGGATGGTTCGCAACATGGCTTACTTTGCCTGCCCGCAGTGCGGTCATCAAACAAAGATCTTCTCCCATGGTGAGAGTCATGACCATGGCTCAGAGGACTGGGGTGTTGTTGCCGAGTGCAAGCGCCTCGGCGTCGAGTTCCTCGGGGATATCCCTCTCGACGCTAAAGTCTGCGAGGATGCTGACCGCGGAGTGCCTACGGTCGTATCGGAGGAGAGTGATGACCGCAGCATAAGGCGCAAGGCTTTCCTTGACGTTGCCGAAAAGGTTGCGCGGAAGATTGGTCTGGATTGGCATTGATGGGAACTGTCATATTATTTTGTATCATAAATATACCCGAATTTCTTCTGCATGTCGGACTTGCCGATGACCTGTTTCATTTTTTGAACGCCTTGGTGCCAGTAACCAGCCGTCAATATGATCCTGGCTGGCTGTTCGTTGATTCGGCCCGAAAATACATCTCCACCCCTCGCTGCGTTGAGAAGCGGTGTCACAAAAGGCAACCAGATCGTGAGTTCCCTGCCGTATAATAAGGCGGGCCGGAAGATCATCACATCCAGCACGTTGACCGCGTTTATGATTCGTTTTTCGAGATCAACACGCCAGGCAACTAATTCCGGGCAAGGGGAGGGCGCCAGATCCATGAGGGAGAGGGCGTTAACTGCCTTGTTAGAGGAGGTATGCACTCAGGTCCCGGAGCCGTAGATGAAGCCAAGCTTTGGTCCTTTTACGCCGTGACGCTTGTACTTGGTTTGCCGTTCCTGGCCAATGAGGGTGGTGTTTTGGAGGAAACTGTGAGAACCCTGGTTTGCACCTGTCACGTCCACTATGATGTTAATGTTCTTAGACCAGATCACGGAGAGGTACAGCTCTGGATCTTCGACCGAGTTTGTGCTGTAACGGGTATTATCTCCTGTCAAGTGAGCTGGACTGCTTTCTCACATGAATGTGTCACGCTGTAGACAGTATGTTGGCCTGACTGAGAATTCATCTCTTGGTTTTATCCTCATCTGCGTCTTTGAGTCCGCCCTGCAAGTAAGCAACTGACATCAGCTCCGGTCAGTAGGTCTCAGATATCCACATAAGAACAGGTTTGATTTAAATCCAGGCAACAAACTGAATCTAACCTGTAGAACATCATCATGGTTTGAGTCTGCTTTTGGACATTTTGCCCTTTGCTCCTTGCCCGCCCAACATCCAGCCAGGGCCATCACTCTGCCAATCATTGAGGAGGCCAATCCAATGGACATGGGGGATACAGCCATGTACTACATAGAGGAAGGTTACTTCACAAGGAAATGATCCTACACTTCCCCAGTCAGATCGACTGTCACCTCGTATTTGGGCCAATGAGGACGCCCCTCTGCGGCGGTCTCTCCAGCCTTGTGGAGGTAACGATCACAGCCTTGCAACCACCCGAGGCCAGCGCAAAAGGACTGGAGGGATAAGATAGAGAGCTTGCCCAGCATCCTCCAAACGATATCTGTCTCGTGTCAGAATCTACTCACAGCATAAGGATGGCCGACATAGCAGGACTGGTACTTAGCATTATGATAGCCTGGAAAACATGCGTGCAGATCTTTAATATCATCAACTTAAGCTGGAAATACAGGATGGACTACAAGGTTCTCCGCATTAAGCTTGAGGTTAAATGCATCTAGCTTCTGGCCTAGGGTGAGGTAGTTGGCCTCACCGGGCTTAATAACAGCCAGTTCATTCCCAATCCCTGATTATAATCTTGAGAGATCTAGAGTATAGTGATTTAACTCTTAGGCTATATACAGAATATCTTTAAGAACTTAGAGACTCTGCAGAGTAAGTACAGACTGCATCTAAGTGCGTTGCACACTGATAACTAAGTTGACTGTAGATAAGCCACACCACAGGCTCAGACAGCTCTCAGCTTGATTTTCATGTGTGTGTATAGCAACCTACAGTAGTCGGTAAAGGAGTAGCAGTAGTTGATGAACTTGGCTTGCAAGACTTTGTAGGCAGTCCATGATAAGAAGAAGTTCTGGACCATAGTGGCTGAGATCAAGGGATTTAATAAGAACCTTAAGAGCCTGTTCCTGGATGTCAAAGTTAAAGTAGCAGAGGCGATGCAATACGATATTGGGCGTAGTCACTAGATCCAGGACTTATGTCTTCTGCAAGAGGTAACTGCTAGTAAGTATAAGGATATCTCTAAGAGTGCTAGTGTTTGGTTGGAGATGCTTAATGCTACCATGACAGAGCTATTAGATATATTGTTATAGGAGGATGAGACTATTTGCTTGGGTAAGAGTGATGAAGAGGATGACTGTGGCTCGGCTGTTGGACAAGGCGAGGGTGAAGACGGCCGGAAGACTCCCAGGACAAGGGATGAAAAGGAAATGGACGAGCTGTCCAAAAGACTACACGAGGTCGAGCTCTTCGAGGGCAAGAAGGGCAAGGGCGCATTGTGTGTCAGCCTACTGAAACCAGATTCCACCTTGGCACGAGCATCTACCCATGTCAGTTGGGAAGGCTATCCTCAAGAGCAAACCTGGCGGATACATAAGATTGAGAGGAAGACGGTTATCGGCGTGCCTCATGGATCTTTCGGTAAGTAGTCTTTTGTTTCCGGTAGGACCAGACTATATGCTGAGCAATGCTGGTAGAACTATATCACAGAAAGAAGTTCACACAAAAACGGCAAGTGAAACACGAAATGGACATGTACCCGGATGAATATTTTGTCTTCTTCGACATCGAAAGCGATCCCCAGTATGAGAGTGCTCATCCCGGCACTGTCACTTTGGAAGGCTTTGGTCTGGAATGCTCGTCTCATACAACGACTTACCTGCCCTCCCCGGCAGCAAGATCCTGCGTCGTTTGGATGAGCTGTATCGGGAAACCAGCCAAGTCGGCTGGAATCCCTGGCATGACATGGCCGACCTCAGGGAATCCACGGGCGAGCTGACAGCGTATGGTTCAATGGTCTATTCTCGGTTGACGAAACTGATTATAATTTTACGCATAGGATGGCACTTGCTGGGACAAAATTCGTCCAACCCCAACCGACGGCACATCTCGTCGTCGACCTATATAGCCTCCTGAACAGACGTGATATCTTCGCCTAATTCACCACCAAGTCAAGCATAGCAGAAGAATGGGGAGGTCCCACAGGCCAGTGTATTGTGATTTGGAACTTTTTCCGCCAGATGGTCATCAACAGGGAACTGGCACGCCGTCTGGCTTCGTATGATGTAGACGGGCCAGTCATGGGCTTCACCACCAAGATCCTCGCTTCCCTCATCATTGCCGATCGATGGTTCCAGAATGTGCAGATCCGGCTAGCGGACATGGGCGTCGATCCCTTGAGTATCCCAAAGACTGTCTCGTCTCTTCAGAAGGACAAGGCCGAGAACTTTAAGAGACAAGGGAACGAGGCCACAAGGAAGAAACAGCACCAGCTGGCCTTGGATCTGTACACCGAAGCTATCAAGGTCAATCTTGGTAATGCTGTCTACCGCAACAACCGCTCCGGAGCCCTCTACGATTTGGGACGGTACCCGGAAGCCTTGGACGACGCGCTCGTCGCCACGAAGCTCGATCCGACATATGCAAAAGCGTGGGCGCGCCTCGGACTAGCGCATCTGCGGCTCGGCCGGGCGAAAAGGGCAAAGGAGGCTTTACAACGTGCCATCGAGCTCGCAGGGCGGAACGCCACCGACGCAATGCGCAAAGGTCTTGCGGACGCCGATGCAAAGATCGAGGCCGATATAAGGAGAGCTAGCAGCCATGTAGTGTTTATTCTGTTTCGTCATGGCAGTGGGCCTCGTTGTATGCACGTATGACGAGGTCAAACATGGATGAGGTCGCAGGATGGCCTGGTCCAAACGCCGTCTGCAGTCTCTTCAGTGCTCTGGAGAGCGAATCCAACGCTTTCTCGTATTGTTGGTCCCGCAGGTAGGCGATACCGATCAGCTGCAACGTCGATATAGTAATACCTCCCTCCTCGCCGAACACTTCCTCCAGGTATGGCAGGACTTCGGAAAGGGATTCCAGTCCTCTGCGATAGTCCTGACGATCCATATGAAGGACACCGATTTCATACCGGATATATAAGGCGCGCCTATGCTCGTGTCCCACCAATCTTTCCATGCCTTCCAGTGCTCTGGAAAAGGAATTGAGTGCATTCTCATATTGCCCGAGACGTGCATACACGGAACCCATCCGGTGTAATATGTCCTCTTTGAGGCACTCATTGTATGCAAGCGGTTTCTTCAGCCCTGTAAGGGCCTTTGAAAAGAACTTCAACGCAATTTCATACTCCTCGAGATGCGCATGGATTCGAGCTATGTAGAAGGAGAGCTCGGGGTAAAAAATGAGCTGTCGCTTTGGTAGCCTCTTCTCATGGCACGAATAGACTCTCGTGAAAAAGGATAACGCATCAGTGTACCGTCCCAGGCGATAGAACCTCTCTCCTATCATAAACATTGCGAATAGTGTATACTGGTGCTCTGGGCCCTGGATTCTTTCCAGCCCTGCTAATGCTTCGAAGTAATATGCCTCATCAAGGTCAAAATGTCCAAGCTTAGAGTATAGTGCGGCGATGAAGAGTCGTATTATGTACTGCAGGTGCCCTTCTCTACGCTTGGCCTTGTCAAGGGCTGTATGCAAGATTTCAAGACAGTCCTCGAATCTTTCTACCCGGAGGTAGAACATGGCCACAGGAGCAAGGACGAGAAAAGGAAGGGCTGAGGCCTTCTGTACTATGGCGCGGAATAGTATTTCTAGAGGATCAATAAGCCGTTCGAATTGTCGAACATAAGATTGCAATTTGAGCAGGAGATCGAGCCCGAAGTGCGGGGGCAAGGGTGCATCTTTCCGAAGCACTCGCATCATAGGTGCAATATCAAGTGAACCGCTTGGAACCCTGCACTTCGAGGATGTCACTTCGTGAGCGTCGCTGAATAAAGGAGCAGCTTGAATCAGTTCAAGGATCAAGCGTATTCGCTCAGTCCGCGAATCATTCTGTCCATAGTGTTGCCGCCGTCTCTCATGTTCCTCGGTCAGGCGTGTCCGAAGAATGAGTGGAATTCCTGCAGATTGCATGTGTTCATCCAACCAGGATTCAAATTCCTCCAATCCGAGATATTTGATGTCTAGGGAATTCAGATGGTCGTCTTCAACGGTATCCACACAAAGGTGCTCTAGCCAAGTTATGCATCGGTCTGAGTTAAGGAATCTGACAAGCCGAGGTATGATTGAGCCAGGATCAATATCAGACCGACAAAAGTGCGCAAGCATATATCGGGATAGATAGGCCAGCAGGTGATATCTCCGAGTGATTTGAGAGAAGGTGTTCCAATCACTTGTGAGCGAGCTATAGTAGCTTGCTTCAAAATATTCAACGCAGGCAGATGCAAGTCTACCGTGTGACTGCTGCAAAGGCACCCGGAACATAATTATCTTGCGAGATTTCCCGGCCCTCCGCCATTCCTGCTCGGGCCTCATCAAGAATTCCATCACAGAGAAGTGTACTAGCCGCACATAGCCATCAGCAACGCTGACCAGATCCCCACAGATATCTAAGAGCCTTCGTTCCAGTCGCGGGATGAGATAGTTGTCAAGTCGGTGATCTTTCTGCGGAGATGTGGCGAGAGCATCCGCCGCAAGTAAGTGCTGAAACTCATCGAGACTCAGTGGACGCTGAGCGACAATTATGAAAGCCAGCACCTTATGAGCAAGATCCAATTCGGAAGGTTCCAGCCGCCTGACAAGGCCCCAAAGCAGCTGCTCATAGGTCGTTTGAAGGTCATGGGGTAGGTTACGCAGCCTTTGCAAAGCGTCAGCTTCGCCGGCAGACTTGTTCAAATGCTTAAGCATGAACTTAAGCCACAGAAAATTGCCATCTGCGTGCTGCCTCAAAGTCCTGAAGACTTCATCTCGCAGAGTGCCTATATTGAGCACATCAGACAGCCCGATTTCGGCTTTAATAACTGTCTCAATGTCTTGTTCTGTCAGAGTGCGATCCATTTCAATTGTATGCCTCGCGCAATTGAGCGTATGAAAGGCGCGGTGACGGCCGAGTAGGATGAAACGAAAGTTAGAACGGCCGGCAAGAAAATCAAGGAGCTTTTCAACAAATTCGCTGGCAGTATCTTTGCACTCATCGACTCCGTCAACGACACAGAAAACCGGCTTGGATAGGAGTGCTGCAATCGCATCAAAGATCGTCCACAACTCGGCGGTTGTAGGTTGCCCTTTCAGCATAGACTGTTGGAGAACGGAAATTGCTTCTTCAGCAGGAGCGATTCCCAGCAACTGCCATGTGAGGGAGCGGAGCAGATCACTCAGGTTTCGCTGACCGGTATGGCCGCCAGAGAATGCGAAGAGAAAAGAATTCACATTGATCTTGCTCATATACTCAACGATGTACGCAGCCAGAATGCTTTTACCACAACCGGGACGGCCAATAACCAGTAGTATCCTATCCAGGTGGGACGGGTGAGACAAAGTATACCAGTTTGCGAATGTCATGTTTGACCAGATCCAGTCACAGGTACCCCGCGTTCTTTTCTGCGATTGAACTTGCTGGACTTGCCGCATGTTTAGCGGTCTCAGCCATCGTTCACATTTGGCCTGTTGATCCTGCAGGCCTCTCTTCCGAGTTTCTGGGCGCTGTTAGTAAAGGCAATTCAGTGGAGCGGAGCGCACCTTGAGTCACCTTCTTTGACGTTTATCAAGAGGTCTGTATTCTCGACAATGGCCTTCTCAATCTTTGCTATGTTCTTGGACACTACAGATGTTAGTGAGAGATGCTGCCAGGAAAGTCTTCCGTACGACATACCAACATTCAGGAGTTGAACATCCTGCACCGTGGGCAAAGCCCGCACATCAACCGCTTCGATATGTGAGAGAAGGTCCTTTGCATACGCCGAAGCTGTTGCAACCGCAAACTGTCTCCATATATCGTTTTTGTGCGAGTCAGAGTAATCGCTTATCCCTCGAACAACAATACATGGGAAATTGTTCAACAATCCAGCAGCCTCCATCTCAAAACAGAATATCGAATTACCATAGCGGCGATTGATTCTGTCTCGTTCAACCCCATTCTTGATGACCATATTCCCTGATGCTATGACCCCGTAATGAACGCTCGGTCTCGATGGGATGTTGCGAGGTCTACGCGCGATGAGAGCTGAGTCGTCACAGGCGTCACAATTTTCGGTGTTGGACGTGTGGTCATAGTCTGCTCGATACAAAAGATCTCTGTTCTCCCCCGGATAAGCATACTCCTTGCCCAATTGCTCGATAATATGCAACATGTTGTTCATCGGATTCTTCGGCCTCGTGTGGTATGCCTTCAAAAGATCGACAGCGGCCAGGATCTTCCGAGGCGGCGGACAGAACCAGTCTTTCCTCTCCACTTCACCATTGCGACGTTGTGTTCACCCAGGCGCCCTAAGTGATACGCGTTGGTGTCATCCGCAGGCGTGGATTGAGGTCTCCCATGCTCCTCATCTAGCACGGCCATACCTACGACGAATTCGTCGTGGGACGCAGAAATCCAACCGATCGTGTATTCATCATTCGGATAAGGGGAACGCTGCATCGTCTTCCGGTGTTGAATCTTGTTTGGGAAAAGAACATCAAGTAAGCACCGTCGTTGCGTAAAGGGTATTTTTTTTAAAAAATGGTGCCATGGCGACGTTGTTCGACGCGACAAAAAAGGCTAATGTTGCCAGGGTGAGACCTGCAAAAGCAAAAAGTACGGTCAGTGAGGCTGAGATTTGCACTGACAGACCATTCCGTACTTTTCAGTCTGACATCCCTGGAGAATGCTGTCTGGTTTTGCAACGTTCGTCTGCCTTGCCTGGTTTATTATGGTCAGTTTTCTGCTTGATCGGCTGGGCAATGAGATTGAAAGAACAGGACACCAGAAGCTTTAGTTTGGGTGCAGTGGTTATTGCTATCATCTCAGAGATGTATAGTTTTAATGCATATAAGGGTCATTTCCCCATTGTGGCAATTTTATATTAGGTAGGTAGAAAGATATCCTACAGGCCTTATATTTCTAGACAGTAATGGTGGCCCATAGTACCTATCAAGAATCAATCGATAGTACCTTTCAAGTTACTACAATAGTATCTTGATTGTAACTTTAGCTATTTTTCATACTATATACTTTACTGCTTGATGTAGATGTGGTTATAATAGATAATCCTAAAGAGACTGAGAGAGAAGACCATATTTTCTTATAGTATGCAGTACGCAGTACCTTGACGGGTTAACAGGGGGGCTAATTTTACAAAGGGTACTGGTAATTAACTCTATTTTGCACTTGTCTAAGCTCACCTAAGGTTGTGTGAGTTGGACTATAAGCAGCGTCAGTCAACGGCAGCACCAACCAACCTTTTCACTGTGTTGAAGCCACCCGCCAGCCAGTTAGTAGTTGGGTGGGTGACCACAAGCGAATCCCCGCTGTTGTATATTGCTTTAAATTTCTATCTTTCTAAGTTCAAATACTGCCGGTAGTTGTGCAAGTTCAATGTTAGTAATGTTGACTATTAGCGGGTGTATAGCAACATTATGACTTTCGCCACTTTCTCAGAAGGATCAGGGCTACAAACAAGTTCAGCAAATGGGTAATTACCTATTGAGTCTCGTGCTGGATGGAGACTGGCTAGGCTGATGCAGTAGTATGCTCTTCTGATCCGTGACACTTGCTCTTAAAGAACTTTCCTGGCCATGCAAGTCCTTACTGAGGCGCGCTGTCGTGGCCTGGAACACTCCGTTCGTGATATCAACCATCTCGAAGATATCGAAGCAAATGCCAAAGGGTCGAAGTGGCTTCCACCACCGGGCAGCCACTTTTACAGGACGAGGTGACGGACGAACTGCTTGGATTAGCCTCTCTCAATTGAGCCCGAAGACACATGGCGGATGTGTTCAAAGCCGCTTTGGATGCGCAGTATCCAGGTAAAGAGGCCTAGATAAGTAGGGAACTCCTTACGAGATCAGAGCTGTCGCAGTTGTCTTCCCCAACAGGAAAGGGAGAAAGGCGTTGGCCAGAGTCACAGCAGCAGTGTAGTTGCTATGCATTGCATGATTTAATGATACATGGACATATCAACAGTCAGGGGGATGTAATCAGGGTAGGTATTCACTGGTAACCCTATTCAATCATTTCACTGCTTTAGACTGGATACCTCCATGAGATCTGACCACAAGGGGAAGTGATTTTGTGCATTTTGGAATATACCACTATGTGTCTTATACTGAGAACAGTATGAGGATCTGCACATCACATCCGGTATATCCGAGGCATAATTAAACATTCCCCAGCGTTTAATCTTCAGCGAAATTTCAATACGCCAAGGGGGAGGATCTGCAGACCACCATGTCCCATATTGATCGGCTACGGTGTAAAAAGCAGTGCCGACTGCCGAGTTTGGGTTGCATCTTCAAGACAAGCTCATAACTAGGACTGACTAGTACTACTACCAGCCACATTATGCACAAGTTTCCTGGCATATGTCTTGTTCAACATCCACAAAGCATGAATTGCCCAACCCTTTCCCCAGTGATCGACATGGGGTTCCCATTGCTTATGCACCCAATTTCGAGGATAAGGTGGGCTAATACAGTCAAGTACATAGTAATAGGCCCGGAAAGCGCAAGAATGCCATGCTATCTATCTGTTGGGGGTGCGTTGATTAAGTGGCCGATCAGCTATAAAGAGTTTCTCTTTCTCTGCCATGATGCTAAGCATCCCAACACAAATCGACTTTTAGTTCAGTCTACTTCTTTTTCCTTTTTAGCTGACATTAGAAAACCATTAACATGGTGGGTGTTATTGACACTGAATCCGAGACGGTCAACCCGCCGCAAAGACTTCTCGCAACTGTCGTCGATTCTCTTGCCATTGAATGCCCTATACGGCGATTTTGCTTGATCCCCAATGGTACAGAAGTCCACCAAGGCTTCCGCGAAATGACTTTCAAGGACCTATGTCGCGCCGTAAATACGATGTCTTGGTGGCTGGAGAAGCATCTTGGTAGCTCAATCAAGGGAGAAACAATTGCCTATCTGGGGAGCAATGATATCCGCTATATTATCCTGATGCTTGCTTCACATAAAACAGGCTATACGGTCAGTCTTCGGACATTGGAGATGGAATGATTGACGATTCGAATGTTGTGTAGATCTTCTTTCCTTCGACTCGGCTATCGAATGAAGCATACGATTCTGTGTTTGGAGCGACAAGATCCAAAATGCTGTTATTCAGTCCGGAGAAGCATCATCTCGTCTCGGGTTTAACCGGGCCAAGCAAGTCGATCAGCTCCCTGGAAGTACCAAGTGTTACTGAAATGCTGAATGACAATTCGAATGTGGAGAATTACTATTTCACTTCGACGTATGAGGAGATGGAAGACAAAACCGCATTCATAATCCACAGCTCCGGAACAACAGGTGAGGTGGATAACTACAAACGGCCTGCCTGGTTGGCTTATGATCCCATTATCTCTCTGTAGGTATGCCCAAACCTGTGTCTCTTACCCATGGCTTCCTCGGCACTATCGACTACGGCCCGTTCATGCCTCGACCCTCTGGCCGCTCACCGGCCTTTTTCCAAGACCTGCTCTCGGCCGATCCCCATCCAAGCGAGCTTGTTCTGTCAATTACACCATACTTCCATCTGATGGGTCTTGTGTCGTTTTTTGAAGCGATATTTCACAACATCCCCTTCGTGGCAAACCCGGACCAGCCATTGTCTGTCAACCTGCTGATAGATGTCATCCGGGCAACGCATCCTACTGCTACCATCCTACCGCCATCGATCCTCGAAGACATGAGCCGGTTCCAGGAGGCTCTGGAATGCCTCGGCACCTTAAAGTTCGTTTGCTACGGAGGCGCTCCGCTGGCGAAGGAGGTCGGAGACAAGCTCAGCCAGTACACCCAGGTAAGAAACCCAATCGGATCCACTGAGATGGGCATTATCGGCTCCCTTGTCCCGGAGGGAAAGGAGAACTGGGGATTCTTCGAATGGAATCCGACATATGGGATCGATATGCAGCCCGTCGCGGATGATTTATACGAGCTAGTGATCCCTCGTGTGGAAAATTCTCGTCTGATGCATGGGATTTTCCATACATTTCCGGCTCTGAAGGAGTACAGATCCAAAGATATTTATGTGCGGCATCCGGAAATCCCAAAGTTGTGGCAATACCGTGGCCGCTTGGACGATGTGATCGTGCTCAGTAACGGGGAGAAGCTGAATCCTGTGTCATTGGAGAAGGTTGTAGAAGGTCATCCCTCTGTTCGTCGCGCTCTGGTCGTTGGACAGGGCCGATTCCAGACATGCCTGCTGGTTGAACCTGCGACTGATGATCATGCTGGGAATATTGATGAACGGGATTTTGTGGATATGATCTGGCCTTTGGTGCAGACTGCCAACAAAACCGTTCCTCAATACGGCCAGGTCTTGAAAAACATGGTTCGACTCGCATCCCCTGGGAAGCCATTCAAATTGACGCCAAAGGGCACTACCCAGCGACATGCCGTCAATGCGGACTACGCAGAGGAGATTGACGCCATCTATGCCGCGCAAGACAAACAGCTGGGGGCTGAGCTGCCATCGACGATCGACTTTGAGAGTGTGCATCGCTATGTGCATGAAGTCATTACCTCCCTCACTGGGCGATCTGATATCAAGCCTAGCGATGATCTTTTTGGGTTAGGGCTCGACTCACTACAGGCGATTCAGCTTAGCAACCTCTTGCGAAGTGCAGTCTCGTCTTACAACCCGGGGCTGAGTACGGAAAGCATTACTGTACAGAACGTTTACGCTCGACCCACCACGGATAAGCTCGCTGGTTTGCTTTTGGACGTCCTTCAGGAGCAAGCAGCGACAACCCCGATGGAATTGCGCTCTGAAAGAATCGCCGGCTTAGTGTCCAAGTACACAGCTGACCTCCCAATTCAATCTTCCAACTCCTCCGCTCAACTGCCTCAGCGTTCGACTGTTATACTCACCGGATCAACCGGTTCCTTGGGCAGTTACATTCTTTCCGGCCTATTGAACGATCCGAAAGTCGCAAAGGTATACTGTTTCAATCGGGCCACTGATGCAGCCACTCGCCAGCATCAAGCGTTCGCCGAAAAGGGACTGGACGCCTCGTTCTTGGAAGACCCCAGCAAGGTCGAATTCCTACACGTGTCTTTCGGAGACAGACGCTTTGGTCTTGGTGATTCCATGTACAGCAAACTGCTGGATACAGTCGACCTGGTCATCCACAATGCGTGGAAAGTCAACTTCAATCACCCCGTCTCATCGTTCGAAGACCCTCATATCAAGGGTGTGCGCGAGTTCATCAATTTCAGCCTCGAGAGCCGCTACAATTCCCACCTTGCCTTTGTCTCCTCAGTGAGCACAATCGCAGCATGGACACCCTCTTCAGATGAGTCAGCTGTCCCTGAATCGCCAATGGAGACTGTGGACGCCGTGCTGAAGCAGGGATACGGCGAATCAAAGCATGTAGGGGAGAGGATTTGTTTGGAGGCGTCACGGAGATCAGGGGTGCCGACGAGCATCCTACGGGTGGGACAGATCGCTGGACCGGATAGTCGGTTGGGGCTGTGGAATCCACACGAGTGGCTGCCCTCCCTGGTAAAGACGTCGAAGAGTATGGGGAAAGTACCGGATGGGCTGGGTGGTTTTCTCGTGGATTGGATTGCTGTGGTGAGTCTGCCTTGTCGTAAATGATCGCCAGGCTAACAGGAATAGGACACTCTGGCCAAGATCACAATCGAAATCCTATTTAGTCGTCGGTCATCACTGTCAACACAACGTCATGCCGTTTTTCATTTGACAAACCCATCCCGGATTCCCTGGGCCTCCCTGGTACCTGCAATTCAGGAAAGATATCATGTGAGCCTGGTGTCCCTAGCGGAATGGGTCGATGAGCTGGAACACATCCGGAATCCTTCAACCCAGGACCTTGCCGAGAAACCGGCTCTGAAACTTCTATCTTTCTATCAGGCATTAGCTCGCAGTGCGGGTGTGCGAAATGCTGAGATCAGCGTGGAGAATTCCAAGGAGGCCAGCAGAGCCATGGCATCGCTCGGGCCGGTCTCGCTCGCTCAAATGTCCAACTGGCTAAATCAGTGGGATTTTTGAGGGTTCATCGCAGTGCTAGCTATCATCAGCTTTGCAATATAGACGAGCCATTGTAGAGTAGTCTTTCTGATCACACAAATAAGAGATTAACAACATGAGGTAATGGGGTCTTGAAAGAAACCCAAGAAGGGTCTCCCGCCAATGTTCTAAATTCCAGCTTAATCTCATACGCTCATGATGTAGTCTGACTCTGGGTTAGGGCTTGGTTCTGCTTCTGCTTCTGCACCATATTTCAACAGCATCTCCACGATCTCGGTCTGTAGTCTCCCCCTCGCCCAATAGAGTGTTGAATGACCATCATCATCTCGTGCATGAACATCCGCTCCGCGCTGAAGAAGCATCTCACAAACCTTCCGGCTCCCCGCTCTTCCAGCATGAATTAGAGGTGTCGCTGTAGTAAGGTCTCGGCATTCAATATCCTCCCCCCGTTCCAGCAGCAAGCGAACAACGTCCGGATGGTCTCCTTCCGTGGCCCAGAAGATGAGCGGCAGACCAAGGCTGGCTCTGGCATATGTGGCCTCTACATCCGCGCCTGCATCCAGAAACATCCTCACCATCTCAATATACCCATGTTCCGCTGCGTACGCAACGGCATTGTCCCATAAACAGCTCTGGTCTGCATCACGCAGTAATACACCCACAGCAGCTGTATGCCCCCCCATCGCAGCCTGGTCAAGTGCCGTGAATCCCCAGCCATCACGCTTTAACATCGCGTCCGCACCACCCGCGAGCAGAATTTCCATCACCTCCGTATGGCCCGCGCTAGCTGCCGCCATCAGCGGCGTGAGGCCATATGAGCCAGTCATATCAACTCTAGCCCCGTGTTGGAGGAGTGTTTCCACAAGCTCTGTATATCCCGCGCCGGACGCAATGACGAGCGGTGGAGCCAAGCCTTCAACCAGACAAAAGTTCCGGCGGAGGGTTTTGTCGGGGGTGGCATCACTCATTAATGGAAATAGGAGCTCCCTTGAGCACCGCCGCTCAAACCCGTCTGGGAGAGCGGGGCCGTCTATGGGCGCAGTGGTATTAACATCAGCGCCGTATTGCAGGGCCTTTTTTAGGGTGTCTATGCGGCCGTGAATGGCAGCCCACTGCAGTACGTGACTGTCCTGCTGTTGCACGCTTCGTTGGTATAGAGAATGGCTTAAGAGATTGTGGAGTTGGCGGTTGACGCGGCATAAGGAGTTGAGACTTGCATTTCCTAGGTGATCTGCTATGAGGACAAGCAGTTCATGAGGTAGCTCAAGCAAGCCCATGGTTGATGCAATATCAGAAGCAGGAAATGCAGAAACATAAGATGATGGTCTGGGATAAAGAGCCAGGACTCAGGGGTTAGTACGGGAGAAATAGGGACCAGTTGCGTAAATGTGCTTGCTATTCTGGTGTCCTGTCCCTTTGCTTCTTCAACAATTCAACCAACTATCAAGGAATCAGAACATCGTTGTATTCCGTCAAGGTTTCATCAACTTTATCACTGTTCTGGATGAAAGAGGCTGCCAAACAGCTAAGCTTTCGGGCTAAGAAGGTGAGTCATGTCTATTTTTTAATTAATGCTTCCCGTCCAGATCCCAGAGAGGCCGACTAGACTCCAGGCCCTTAGACTGACAGGATATACGAGGCCTTCGGCATGATCTCAGGCAGAGTATGCACACTAGGTGCATAGGCTTTAATCTGGAATACCTGATAGTGATACGAACAGAACCTCTCTTCTCTTGTCTTCTCTTTCCTTTTGTGGAGCAACCAATAATAGTCCATCAAGCTTGAGCCATACCATTAGCATTTCTCTTTGCAGGATGCTTCAATCAAGGCAGCAACATCCTGATGACCGTTTTCATCTGCATACATCATAGCAGTCTTGCCGGTGTGATCCGTAACGGTAGTATCAATCATAGGATGACCGAGAAGAGCTTCCACAACAGTTTGATGGCCCGTTTTGGCAGCAAAGCAAAGCGCCGTTAATCCCCGATGCTCCTGAGCGTTGACATTTGTACGGGGATTTGTCAGGAATAGTTGCACGTGGCGCTCAGATCCATTAAAGGCTGCCCATATCAGAGGTGTCCAGCCAGCGTTGTCTTCACAGTTTATGTCAACATCATCTCTCGCTAACAGGAGCTGGATCACTCCATAGTGGCCATCCCATGACGCACAATGAAGAGGCGCTGTGCCTATCCAGGTAGCAAGACTGGGGTTTACGCGATCGTCCTCGAGGAGGACTTGGACTATTGCCTCGTGGCCGCCCTGGGCAGCCCAGTGGAGAGGGACCCAGCCTCGATTATCCGCAACGGTAGGATCGGCTCCGTGACGGAGTAATAAGCGGGTAAGAGTTTCGCGGCCACGATCCGCTGCGGTTGCGAGGGCAGTGCGACCTGATTGATCCCGGTGGTTCAAGTCTGCAGCCTTGTCGATCAATAGCTGGACGATAGCCGCGTGATCCCCTCTCACTGCGTATGAAAGCGCCGTTTTTCCCTCGGAGTCTTCTGCCTCGACATTGCACACTGGCATATCGACAAGCAGCTTTGCAATCGTCTCATACCCATTATACGCCGCTACCATCAGCGCTGTCCTACCGTTCTCCATGCAGCAGTTCGGATCGATCCTTTCGCCCTGCGACAGCAGCGCTTCCACCACAGCGATGTAACCCACACTGGTCGCCGTAAGCAGCGGGGTCGCGCCGTCCTCTCGTTGGCGGTTGATGTCGACATCCGATCTCGCGAGCAATCTCCTCACGACAGCCTCGTGGCCGTTACAGCAGGCCCACCACAACGCTGTCTGGCCGGAGGTGTCGGCCAAGTCGGGGCGAGTCGCCGGGTGATCCAGCAGGAGTTCGACGACGCCGAGGGCTCCGTTCTGCGCTGCAACGCTGAGGGCTGTTTCGTGGAAGATGTTGAACGCGTTTGCGTCCGCCCCTTAGGATAGAAGGAACTTTGCAATTGTTACATGTCCATTCGCGGCGGCGAGCATGAGCGGCGTCCCGCCGTTGCCTTGGGGGGTTTTGGTGTTGATGTCTGCGTCGCCGTGTTCCAGGGCGTAGAGGGCTGTGGCGAGATTCCCGGTTTCGGATGCCCATGCCAGAGCGCTGCTTCGGTTCTGCGATGCGTTCTTGCGGTAGAGGCACCGTTTCGCGAGGGAATGGAGCCGGTGGTTTGCTTGGGAGAGGGCGTTGATGTCGCGTTCAGAGCAATCGGGTTGCGCGATGATGCCTAGTAGGATATCATCCGGGAGGTCGCAGAGGGAGATCATGCTTGTAAATTGGGTCTGTTCGAGTATTCGATATTCTGGTGTGGGTGCTCAGCAGGCTGTGACTCGGTCCGTAGGTGGCCTCCTGAACGTACTCCGTGCTCACCTGAATACGAGAATCCCCGTAGGACGCAGAGTCTTTAACTTGGCATCAGATGATTGGATTAAAAGACGTCCGTTTACAATAAATAAGAACTCCTCCAATGCTACTTTCGCAGCCCACAGAAATCCCAACTCGGCTGGCTCCATTGCCAAACTGCCTAGCTTCAAATCCTATCTGAAGATATGACTTTGATTCCCTATGGTTTAGAAGTATTGCCTTGGCAAGACAGCAACGGATTCTTTAGTTAAACACAATCTATCTTTCCCTCTCCCTTGGTTGCCGAGCTCGCGTATCGCCCATGGAACATCCAGCGGGACTGGACAAGTTAGCCGACAACAGCCATAGCTCGCCATGTACCGCCATGGCGATCCAATCAGCAGTTGAAGAGGTGACGACAATCATCTCCTGATCGGCACAACGGCTATGGATACCTTCAAGGGAAGCAAGGGGTGGCTGACTCTGGTACATATAAGTACTCTGCAACCCCGCAATGACCTAAGCGTCAACTTCCTCCATAAACAGACCGTACCGAGACAGACAGCCATGCAGATGAAATGTAAGTGTAGACTATAGACATACAGAACAATGCTAACGACAAAAGCTTCTCCCAACCTCCAAGGCCTCCTTGAGAAATACCGACCAGACCTGCACCCATTCGAGGAAACCTACCGCCACATGCACCGCTCCCCCGAACTCTCGGGCCAAGAAGAACAAACCGCAGCAACAGCGGCCTCGCACCTCCAAAGCCTCGGTTTCGGCGTCCACGACCACATCGGCGGCTATGGCGTAGCGGGGGTCCTGCGCAACGGGCCCGGGCCGACGGTCCTCCTCCGCGCAGACATGGACGCCCTACCCGTGGAAGAGAAAACCGGGCTTCCCTACGCCAGCACCAAAACCACCAAGGACGGCGACGGGAGGACCGTCCCCGTGATGCACGCCTGCGGACACGATACCCACGTCGTCAGCCTCATGGCGAGCGTGGTCCTGCTGCACGCGGCGCGGGCGCACTGGTCCGGGACGCTGATCTGCATCTTCCAGCCGGCGGAGGAGCAGTTGAGCGGCGCGCGGGCGATGATCGAGGACGGGCTGTATGCGCGGATCCCCAGGCCGGACGTGGTGCTCGCGCAGCATGTGATGCGGATGAAGACGGGGACGGTCAGTGTTCGGGCTGGGCGGCTGCTCACGGCGGCGGATGCGATCGATGTGCGGGTGTATGGGCGCGGCGGACACGGCTCGGCGCCGCAGACTTGTATCGATCCGATTGCTATTGGGGCGGCGATTGTGACGAGGCTGCAGAGTATTGTGAGTCGGGAGGTGGCGCCGGGCGAGGTGGCCGTCGTGAGCTGTGGGAGTATCCAGGCGGGCCACACGGCGAATATCGTTCCGGATCAGCTGGATCTGAAGCTCAGTGTTCGGACGTACGATCAGGCAACTCGCGAACGAGTCCTCGCGTGCATCAAGCGGATTGTTGAGGCCGAATGCGAGGCTTCTGGGGCCGTGGAGAAACCATCCGTCAAGATCATCTATTCGGCGCCGGCTACCATCAACGATGAGGCCACTGTGCAGGCCCTCAGGGGGACCTTCGGCTCTTACTTTCAGGAGAATCTGGTGGAGTCGGAACCGGCCACAGCGAGTGAGGATTTCTCGCTGCTTGCGACGGCGGTGGGGGCGCCGTACGTGATGTGGACGTTTGGCGGCGTCGACGCGGAGACATGGGATGAGGCTGTAGCCAAGGGGACGGTGAACGAGCTGCCGAGTAACCATTCCCCGTTCTTTGCGCCGTGTATCCAGCCGACTTTGCGTACGGCGGTTGATGCCATGAGCCTCGGTGCGCTTACTTTTCTGGGCATTACTGAGAGTATGAATGAATATGGCCAGTCGTAGGCAATTAAACATGACTGCGTAAACGTCAAGGCTTAGACACATGAATGATAATCTTCCCCCTTGCACGCCCAGACCGAAGCTTCTCAAACGCCTTGACAGCATCCTCCAGCTCGTACGTGCTGTCGACCTCCACCCGCACCTTACCCTGCTGGATCCACTCCCCCAACCGAGCAATATCAGCCTTGTTACTCTTCAGCATAAAAACCACATACTTCCTCTTCCCCCCACCCAGGAA